CAGACGGGGGGAATAAAAACCAAACACCTCCCCACCCCATCCCCGCTGCCAATCCTCAACAGAAATGCTCACAACAATGAAAACCTCGGACAGGAGGAAGAGTGCCGCTGGGTGGGCAGGCAGGCGTCTTGCTCGGCTGTGGCTTGGGGGGCACTTTTTTCAGTGCCATTGTAACTTCGAACAGTCACTAAGCGAACTGTTGTAAGTCGAGGACTACCTGTACTTTATCACTTTTTTCCTTTTTTTTTTTTTTTGGTCATCAAGTTTTTGATACCTTGCTAGGCAACTGGTGGTACTCGGATGTTGCCATATCCCAAAAGTGGTACAATGGGTGAAAAGGTTGAAAAGCCCTGATCTAATCCAACCCTCATTGAACTGTATTTGCATTTCAGTTTTTTCCTTTTCTCAGACCAGCCTGAGTTCAAACAAAGTTAGTGTTTTATTTATTTGTCTGCATTCCACCTTTAGTATTTGATTGATTTGACTTCAGATCTTTATGGATTTCCTCATCCCTTGTTTTTCAATTTAAAAGATTACTGAGGTGGAGATACGGTGTTTATTTCTGCAGAATTGGCAATAAAGTTTTTAAAGAGGCATTTATTGTTTCAGGAAATTGAGGTTTTAAACAGTCCTACATTTTCCAGAAATGTTATATCTACTGCACCTGGATTTTTTTTTCTCTATAAATGTCCCCCCCCCGAATAATTCTATACCTTGAATATAACATTTCCAGTTCCAGTGTTACTTTTTTTTCATAATCTTTTAAATCAGTGGATCATTCTGGCAAACGTGTAGAGTTTCATCCCTGCGTATTTTGTGTAATTGGGAAGATTGCTATGTACTTGCCAAACATTTGCTCAAACATAGCCTTTTAGTTTGTTTTGTATTCACTGTTTTTTTTGCATTCTGCTCCTCTTTGTAGGATTTTTGTGTTTTAATTTAATTGTCCCACCTTTCTTTTTTATATTTCTTATTCAATTCCAAAGTTCTCCCATACATTTCTGTTGTATTTCTGGGGTATTCTGTTATTCATGCATAACCCACACTATTTTGTACTGGTTAGAAGTGTTTTATTTTATTGAGCACAGTTTTAAAAACATTTGATTCAATTTCAGCACCATCCAATTCCAAAACAACTCTTTTTATTATTCACAGTCAGCCCCCACCCCCCAAAATAGCTTTCTATGAAAAACATTGCAAATTAAGATTCCAGAATAAAGTATATAAGGGCGGCATTTCCCCCCCATTTTCTCAGTTTGGTGTTTATGCTTTTCTTTGTCTTCCAAAAGCAGACAGGAAAATAATTTCACATGCAACTGCATTTTTCTGGAAACTATTTTGCACAAAAATGTGGAGGAATACAACGCAAGAGGTTTTAGATTTCCTTCAAACTTATTTTCTTCTTATGCAACACTTTTTTTTAGCCTCCAGAGGAAAGTTTTATTGAGAGGTGGGCCCAGTTTCTCTTTTAGGAAGTAGAAACCCGTAAAGTTTTTTTTTTTCAATTTAGAAACCTTAGTCCTTATGCAGTTTTTGTAATGTATATCTTGTTTTTCTTTCATTTAGCACCATCCAGGCATTTTTGAACTACAGTTCCCAGAATTCCTAGTCAACACAACTGGGGAATTCTGGAACTTGCCACTGGAACATTTTAAGGATTCCAGGTTGATCCCATCAAATCTGCATCATCACATCTGTTCATCATGTTTTTATCCTGCCATTTCTCTGATCCTTTTGGATTCACTCCATGCGGCTGGAAGCTGTTTATATTGCTCTTGAGAGAAAATCAAAGCTAATGGACAGTGGCTGGACAAAGCCCACAAAATTAATCTACAGGAAGGCTAATCCAAGTTTCCTCCCCATTCTAGCTGGCCAGGATCTCTTAAGCCATTAAACCACCAGGAACGGATTTCGTCCTATGCAAACATGAATATGATTAAAAAAAAAAAAATAGAAGCACGAGGCCTTTGAACTATGGTGCTGGAGAAGACTCCTGTGAGTCCCCTGGACTGCAAGGTGATCAAACCGGTCAGTCCTAGAGGAGATCAACCCTGACTGCTCTTTAGAAGGCCAGATCCTGAAGTTGAAACTCAAGTACTTTGGCCACCTAATGAGAAGGAAGGACTCACTGGAGAAGAGCCTGATGCTGGGAAAGATGGAGGGCAATAGAAGAAGGGGACGACAGAGAAGGAGGTGGCTGGATAAAGTCACTGAAGCAGTAGGCGTGAGCTTAAAGGAACTCCAGAAGATGGTAGAGGACAGGAAGGCCTGGAGGAACGTTGTCCATGGGGTCGCGATGGGTCGGACATGACTTCGCAACTAACAACAACAACAAAAACGTGCCATGACACCAACATTTCTTGAAAAAGCATCATGATCCAAGATGGCCCATCATTTTTTTTTTCTCATTGCAACTTGCAACGTGTCCATTCTGAGAACGGCAAAACCAGGATCTCTTGAAGAAGAAAGACCGAAGATCAGATCTTACTCAAAATCCTCCATTAATACATTTAGTGGTTAAGGGGCCGGCCTAGAAACCAGGAGATGGCGAGTTCTAGTCCGTTTCAGGCATGAAAACCGGCTGGCTGACTTTTGAGCCAATCACCAGGAGACGGTGAGTTTCACTTGCCATTTATCACAAGTGGCTTACATCGAGTGCTGAAGCTGGAGCCCTCAAAAATCTTCTTCTGTTGCCTCCTCTTCAGTGGCTGAATATGAGGGGAAACATCTCCAAGCAGCTGTTGGCACTGGAAGTGTGAGGGGAAAAAATGCTATTTCTGGGACATCTTTTCATGCATAATGCTTGGATGCATCTCCTGTTCTCCTTTATGCATGAAGATGGGTTTGGGGAAGAACAAGAGATAAGATGGCAGTCATATGGTAGCCCTATTTCCTTTCTTTTTCCTCACAAAGACACCCCCTTGAAGTAGGATCAGGTGAGGGAGATCCCACAGCTGGGACTGTACTTCAGATTTCCCTGGCCCTGGTCGGCCTCCTTAATCCCCAATTTTCAAAAAATTACTTAAAAATAATTTACAGGTAGTCCTCAACTTACAACGTTCATGTAGTGACTGTTCGAAGTTCGAACGACGACACTGAAAGAAGTGACTTATGACCATTTTTATACTTAACGATCGTTGTAACACCCCCAGGGTCAAGTGAACAAAATCCGGACTCTTGGCAACTGGCATGTACTTATGACGGTTGCTGTGTCCCGGGGTCACGTGATCTGCTTTTGCGACCTTCTGATTCAATTAATCACCGTGTTACAATTGCAGTGATTCACTTAACAACGGTGGCAAGAATGGTCATATAATGGGGCAAAACTCACTTAACAACTGTCTCGCTTACAAACAGAAATGTTGGCATCAATTGTGGTCGTAAGTCGAGGACTGCTTGTTTAGAAACAGGAAACCTTTTCTCACTTTGTCTCAGGTTCTCCTTCGCCAGGATACAACCTGCGCATCGCTCTATATTTTAGCACCTCTATATTTCATTGAAAAATAAAAAAATCACGGCACATAACACTTCTTCAACCATTCAGGTATACCAAATTCGCATAGTAGAAAATCAAGGGCGGAGTTCCAGTTTCAGGTTGCAGAATTAATCGGAGAGGCTTCAACGGTGGACGGAAAGGCCACTGCCTACCAGAGGCATTAGGACTACAAACCCCATCACTCCCGACCATTTGAAAGGCACTGAGTTGGAGAAAATGGCTTAAAAAGCTCGGCAGAGAGGACTTCAATGGCTGGATTCTCACAGCAGGTGACGTCCATGTTAAAATGGAGTTCAGTAGTTCATGAGTTGTGCAATAGATGGCAACTACATTTTTTGTTTACTCTTCGTAGAAAATAATTTTTTTTAAAAAAAACAAACCCCAAACACCTCACTCCCAGAGATTTTACAGTCCTCACACACCCTTGATCAGGGGTCTTCAAACTTGGCCCTTTTATGACTTGTGGACTTCAACTCCCAGAATTCCTCAGCCAGGCGTGCACGCCTGGCTGAGGAATTCTGGGAGTTGAAGTCCACAAGTCATAAAAGGGCCAAGTTTGAAGACCCCTGCCCTTGATAGACAGGTTGAGGGTTCCTCCCCAGAAGAACCAGAACAGTGTTGAGTTGGGGGCAACAACCCTCAAAAAAATGGCCTCTCGTTGGAGCTCTGGATGGTATCCTCATTCCTGGTTTTTCAGAAGGTCTGTTAAAACAAGAGGTGGCCGAGAAGAGCCTTGAAGACACTTAAATGAGTCAGAGCACAGTGGCAAGATTAAAACAAAACTCCTCAGTTTCTAACTCCTCCCTTACCTGCTTTCCCACAAACCGGTTCACAACTCTTGAAATATGAGCTTGGTGGGGTGGAAGGGAAGAAAAATTACTTTTGGCCACCACGTTGGCAGCAGAAAGCGTTCCCATTCCAATTCCCCGGAGAACAGGCCCCTCCTTGCCAACTGAAGAGGAGGCTTGATTATTTTCTTTTAATAAAAAAAGTATTAAAAATGCAGGGAATTACCCCAGGTGACCTGGAGCAGGAAGTCTCCAACCTCGGCAACTTTAAGACTTGTGGACTTCAACTCCCAGAATCCTGCTCCAGCTCAAAGCCACTCCCACTTTCCTTTACATCCTGTGTGAACTGAGTTTGCTGTACTGTAACCATCCCTGGCTGAGGAATTCTGGGAGTTGAAGTCCACAAGTCTTAAAAGTTGCCGAGGTTGGAGGCCCCTGCTCAAAGCCACTCCCACTCAAAGCCACTCCTGTGTGAACTGAGCTTGCTATATTGCAACCGTACCTGGTTAAGTTCACACAGGATGTAAAAGGCTTTGAGCAGGGGTCGCCAACCTTGGCAACATGGCTGGCTGAGGAATTCTGGGAGTTGAAGTCCACCAGTCGTAAAAGTGGCCAAGGTTGGAGACCCCTGCCCTAGAGGAGGTATCTTGGCACAGCCCTTTGAGATCTTCGCCCCACAAGCGGCTCCTTCCCCTGAGGTATTCCTTCCCTAGAGATCAGAGCTGAATGTTGAAGAGGTAATTCTCACAGTCGGGCTCCTGGTGGAGGCACACAGGGCTGGGAGGCGAGGGATGCCGATGGAGGCTCTGCCCCAGGGCTATGTCAGAGGGGGACATCTCCCCACCTTTCTTCATGACGTAGAGGAAATAGTGGAAGTCCTTTCCGTAACTGACATGTTGGATGGACCAGTTGTAGGCACGCTGGGCGTAGTGCCGCTTGCGGAAATGTGGCTGGGCAAAAGTGATGGAGATGAACCTTCCTCGGGGTTGCAAGACTCGGGCGACCTGGGAGAAAATAGGAGAAAGTTACAGAGAAGTCCGGCCCAGGCTGCTACTCTGAAGTTAACCGGGTTTGGCATGCAGGTAATCCTTGATCTACAACCTGTCAAGCTTTGCTGGTGCAACCATTATTGCTTCTTAGCTTGCCAATGAACTTGGGGGGAGGATGGGGAAATGGAATGCAGGCTACAGAGATAAGGAAGGCGGACCATGAGAATCAAGGACGATTCGCCAGATGTCGGACCAGACTCAGAGACGTTTTCTCAAAGCAATACATTTCCACCTAATTGGGCAATGTGACCTGTTCAAGGATGGGGAGGGGAATTCTATACATTTTACTATAGGGGTTTGGCTTGGGGTTTGCCAGAGCTGGTTTTGCTTTCATACATGCCGAAATGATGTACTCAATGAAGTTCTACATTAAGGGATCAGAATGTCTCAAAGGTGTTTCCTTGCTTGGGTGCGTCAATCAGAACCCTGATGCAACCACAACTGAGCCCTAAATTTCTGTTGTTGAGCACAATACGGGTTAAGTGAGTTTTGCCCCGTTTTATGAACTTTCTTGACATAGTTGTTAAGTGAATCACTGCAGCTGTTAAGTTAGTAACACTGTTATGAAATGAATCTTCACAGAGAACTTTGCTCATTAAGACACAAAAATAAACCTTCACAATCATCCCCAGATTTAAAGTGACAATATTCTATTCTATTCTATTCTATTCTATTCTATTCTATTCTATTCTATTCTATTCTATTTTAGTCTAGTCCTATTTCTCTGTTCTATTCTGTTTATTTCTTCTATTCTATTCTATTCTATTCTATTCTATTCTATTCTATTCTATTCTATTCTATTCTATTCTATTCTATTTTAGTCTAGTCCTATTTCTCTGTTCTATTCTATTCTACTCTACTCTACTCTACTCTACTCTACTCTACTCTACTCTACTCTACTCTACTCTACTCTACTCTATTCTATTCTATTCTATTCTATTCTATTCCTATTTCTCTGGACTAGTCTGTCTAGTGTAGTCTAGTCTAGTCTAGTTGTTGTCAAACTTCTCCTTATAGGGAGAGTGGTTACCTTCAAGTTCAGCTTGTATTTGGAACGAGAAAAGGGTCACTTAATGACATGCCGCAGAGTATATTTTCTCCCGAAAAACCATCACAACTACACACACACACACACACGCACGCACGCATGCACGCACCCCATTTCGTCCTTTCATGAAAGTGCCAATTCTGCAGAAGAGACCATGTGGCTTTGGGTGGAGTCAGGCGAGGCTCTTTCCCCAGGACAGCTGGACCAAGTCGTGCTGATTCAAATGCAAGCCCTTCAACCTCTTCTTGTACACGTAGTCCTCGACTTACAGCCATTCGTTTAGTGACCGACCAAAATGATAAAGGCACTGAAAAAAAGGAGGCCTGTCGCCGTTTTTCAGACTTATGACCGTCACAGCATCTCCGGGGTGACTTGAGCCAAATTCAGACGCTTGGCAACTGGCTCTTACCTAGGAAACCCTCTCACTCACTCAGCAGTGGCAGGGACTCGCTTAACAACAGTGGCAGCAAATGGGATAAAAACTCACTCCGCTACCCCACTCAGCGACAGAAATGTTGGGCTGAATTGGGGCCGTTAAGTCGAGGATTACCTGTGACGAGATTCCCCTTGATTTTCTGGGGACGGGTGCCGGTACAGACCCTCCCTCTCACCCTTGCTCAATGTGCAATTTGCACAGCTTCCCATCACCCCCCCCCCCAAAAAAAAACTTCCCAGTGAACAACCCCAAGCCAAAGATATCACACGGACACGTTGTCCAAGATACAGTTTTGTTTGCAGCTGAGTGGACCTGACCCTTTTAATCCTCATTTTCTTCTCTCTGCAACTTAAACTCCTCCTAATAGGATGGAAAAGAACATTAATTTGCTTGCTTGGCTTTATCCAAAGTCAAAGGCACTTACGGCCATGGGCTGAGCGTGATCAGCATGCTAACACGCCGTGGCCGCGGGGTCTCAAATGCCAGTGTTTGGCTTGGCTGTCTCTTTCCCTCCCTTGGCCTGCTACTCAAGTTCTGCTGGTGCAACCAGCCTGAGGAAGACCCCTCCCCTCCCCATTTTACCCCCGAAGGACCCCTCCCCAGGGCAGGTGGGGATTGAATGCCCAACAGCCTGTACGGGAGTCTGGGACAGGGACAAGAGCTGAGCCCCTCAGCATTCAACAATTCCAGAAGAGAGAGAGAGAGAAGAGAGAGAGAGAGAAAGAGAGGGGAGAGAAGAGAGAACAGAGAGAGGGGAAGAGAGAGGAGAAAGAAGAGAGAGAGAGCAAAGAGAGAGAGAAGAGAGAAAGAGAAAGGGGGGAGAGGAGAGAACAGAGAGAGGGGAAGAAAGAGGAAAAAGAAGACAGAGAGAGAAGAAAGAAAGAGGGGAGAGGAGAAGAGAGAACAGAGAGGGGGAAGAGAGAGGAGAAAAAAAGAGAGAGAGAGAAGAGAGAAAGAGAAGAGAGAACAGAGAGAGGAAGAGAGATGAGAAAGAAGAGAGAGAGAGAGAAGAAAGAGAAGAGAGAGGAGACATAAGAGAGAAAGAGAGAAGAGAAAAGAAAGGAGTGAGAGAGAAAAGAGAGAGAGGAGAGAAGAGAGAGATTTATTAAATTTATTTGCCACCCATCTTACCCATGGGGCAACTCCAGGCGGCTTACAACAATAAAACAAAAACAAAAAAATAACAAATGTAAAACTAACAATAGCAAGGAATGAAACAATAAAAAGAATCAGTGGAAGTATAGTAATATGAAAGGTGATTATCAAATTCCTCAAACCCCCCCCCCCCGCATGTGAAGGGTTAACAAGATCAAAGGCACCCTCCTGGGCGTGTGATCGGGCAGTCCCTCCAGCATGGCTACCCAAAGCTTTGCAGCCCCCCTGTTCTATCCTGCCACGCTGATCATGTCCGGGTCAGGGCACAGCTGAGCAGTGCTTTACATAAGCACAGGAGCCCCCACTACGACAGAGGCTGAAGGGATGTTTAACTCTATCAGTCAGTCAAAGCAACAGAGGGAAGCTTTTTCTATGGAAAAACGCTACAAGGGCTATCGGTAACAGAGACCAGCTTGGCCTGGATGGAGATTTAAATGACTGTTTCACACACCACCACCCCTTCAGGTGCTTTCTGGGTTAACTTCAACTTAAGTCACCGTATTATCAATGCTTCCACTCAGCTGGCTGCACCCAACATGCTAGCATGGTTAGAACTAAGCAAACTGGGGACGTAGGACTTACCCGATTTGATTAAAATGTCTGGTGTAAACCTTGTTGGTCCTGGAGCATCCTGGGGCGATGCTTAATCCAGGACTGGAAAATTGGGGGGGGGGGGCTTCTCCAACCCCTCCCACCCCCATCCCCAGATGGGTCATTGCAATCCGAAAATATTTGGAGGGTGTCAGACCAGGAACAGAGTTGTGGGTGCTTCTAGACAGACTTTTTAGAGCTCCTGATTGCATCATAAGTTCACCCCACAACTGCAATCTAATAAGGCAAGTCTGGAGAGTACCTCTTTCTCCTTTCTCTGCCCTTCTCAGTAAAGGCAGGCATAATCGCACAACTCTGTGTACTAATGATCCTGCTGTGGAGGTGGTTAGCAGCATCAAGTTTCAAGGTGTGCAGCTAACGAGTAGGCTGGCTTCGTCACTCAACAGCGAGAGCCTGGTGAAGCGGACACAGCAGCACCTGTATTTTCTGCGTAGCATGAGAAAAGCACATCTTCCTGCTCCTGTCCTGACCACTTTCAATAGAGGGATGATCAAGAGTATCCATTCATATTGCATCACTGTCTGGTTTGGAAGCATCACTGCTTCAGACCGGAAGGTGATACAGAGAGTGGTGAGGATGGCAGAAAAGATCGTTGGCAGTTCCCTCCCTTCCATCCAGGACGTGGCGTATAAGCGATGCTTGAGCAGGGTCCGCAGCAGTGTCTGGGATGCTACACACCCTCTTCACGACCTGTTTTCCTTGTTCCCTTCTGGGAGGAGGGGGCTCCGTGGTATCTGAAGCAGAACATGTAGATTCAGCCACAGTTTTGTTCCATATACAGTAGCATCAACCTTGTGAACCCTCAAGTTTTCTCTTTCCGCTATGAGTTCAAAATGGACAGTGATTAATATTTACATGTATATATGTATATTCATATGTATACAGCATGAGTACTGTATATGTGTGTTATGTATGTGTATGGATGGATAAATACTTTCTTTAGAGAGCAGGCAGCAGAATTTCATTTTTAATGTGGGCCAGTGCTCATAATAAAAAATGACAATAAAGGTTATCTCATCCCATCCCATCTCATCCCATCCCATCCCATCCCATCCCATCCCATCCTATCGCGGCTAAATAGCAAGGATGAAGATTGCTGGAGGCTTTCTTCCTTGATATAGGTAGACCTCGATTTACAACATTCGTTTAGCGATCGTTCGAAGTTATAAAGGCACTGAAACGAGTGACTTGCGACCGATTCTCACACTTAAGACCATTGCAGCCTCCCTTTAGTCATGTGATCAAAATTCAGGCGCATGGCAAGTGACTCGTATTTATGACGGTTGCACTGCTCCAGGGTCATGTGATCACCCTTTGCAACCTTCCCACCTAGCTACTGACCAGCAAAGCCAATGGGGGAAGCCAAATGTGCTTAATGACCACATGATTGACTTAACAACTGCAGTGGACTGACTTAACAACTGTGGCTAAAAAGATCGTAAAATAGAACCTCAAAAAGGAACTTAAGCGCAGACTTGAAGGTGAGAAGTTGGTAGAAGAAACTGGCATCGGGGTTTGATTTGATTTTAATAATAATAAAGTTGGAAGGGACCTTGGAGGTCATCTAGTCCAACCCCCTGCTCAGGCAGGAAACCCTACACCATTTTGGACAAATGGCTGTCCAGTCTCTTCTTAAAAACTTCCAGTGTTGGAGCATTCACCACTTCTGGAGGCAGGTTGTTCCACTGGTTAATTGTTCTAATG